GTGGTAACGCATCTGCAACCCTATAAGTGTTGCAAGGTTATCACTTAACATCAGGTGAATCGCCAGCTCGTTTGCCACTTTCTCACATAAAAAAAATAAACATTGTTCGCTTAATACACACTTTGCTCCTATTCTCACCGAGGGAGGTCGGCAGAGTTACGAAAAATCGCCAAGTCGACCCTGGGTCTGACGAAACACTCAGAATTCGTTTTATGACTTAATGTAATTATTTCCCTAATATTAACGGCCTCCGCTTTGCCATACATGGTGAAAGTTTTTATGGTGATGAGTAAGTATTTAAAATTAACAATTTCATTGGTACCGGCACCCGGGATCGAACTCGGGGTGCTCGAGTATATTGAAGTAAAAGGGAACGCCCGGACAATGAGCTGTAACGGTTCCACTTATCAATTTGATAAAAGACTCTGTAACTTGTAAATTACAAAAGGTATTGAATGAATCGCCGTCCATCAAAATATCATATCCACTTAGCTTAATGTGAAATATCTTGCAAGCACTTTAAGTAAAATCAAATCGGGCGGAAATATCCTCAAGGCGAAAATCAAAAGGCCCAAGTCAGGGGCTGTAAAGAGCCGACAGCTTCTATTTCAATCTGTGCCGAGTACCTGAGTATTTCCTCCAGGTAGGGCTGCCAAATTATGCCTCGAGTTGATACTTTTCTTCAAGTATAAAACAAAGTCGTCCCGCTGCCTGACTGTCCCTATGTATGCTTAGATCTTTAAAACTACGTCACGGATCTTGATGCGATTTTTTTACTACATAAAGTGATTCAAGAGGAAAGTTTATATGTTTTGTTTTATACTCGTGCGAAGCCGGTGCGGGTCGCTAGTTACTATAAAGTTCTTGTTTATGCCAACATAAATATTTATTTATTTGTTTGGTTTTGTTACAACAATGACATGAACAATAACTTTTTGACAGGTATTTCATATTTTTAAGCGCTGAATTTATTTTACAACTAACAAAATAGTTATTGTAATGGCGTTGCCCTTTAGTGTATTTTTATGTCTATAAATAAAATTCCAATACTGTTTCTGAAATTTAATATTATATAATAATATAAACGAAAAATCCGCCATCTGCCTTCTAAAGTTCTAATAAAATTATGGGTTAAATAAGTATAATAAAATATTATTATAGTTTGCCCCTTTTTTCAGTACTTTTAACGACAAAATGTTCCTCAAAAATATAGAGAAAGAAAGAAGATAAAAAATATATTTAAAAACAATAAAAAATATATATATAATTCGTATTTTAATATTGACAACCCTACGTGGTAACACCAGTAGTCCGCCTTTGCTACCCTAAGGTCTTCCGGCTCATTGCACTTACCTCTTAACAGCCTTTTAAAGTTGTAACCGGCTTGTTTTCTATCCGTGTGCCACGCGACGAACAAAGTTCGAATCAGACCAGTGCTTAGGCGTACTAGTAACGATTTTTATTATAATAAGTGTAGCAGCGGCTTCACATGTCGGGGACTTGCAACATGTTATTTCCATGTTGAAGGCTGCATAGGACTTCAAAACACTCGCAGCCGTCTAAAAAGGAAGCCTATCTTCTAATGTATAAAATTCTCGTGTCACGGTGTTTGTAATTGGCCCCTCCGAAACGGCCGGACCGATTTTCGTGAAATTTTGTGTGCATATCGGCCAGGGTGGAGAATCGGACAACATCTATTTTTCATCCCCCTAAATGTTAAGGGTCGTCCACCCTAAACAGTTTTATCTAACATACACATTCACTAGAAATAATTTATATGGCCGAACAACCTTTGCCGGGACAGCTAGTATAATATAAAATAAATAAATTACCCGACTGCCGAAGTAGGATTATGGTTTCTGTTCATTTGTATTTATGTATAATCATTTAACCGTTCTACAGCCTAAGGCTTTTGACGGATTTCATTATATGATACATCATTAGTTTCGTCTCAGATGTAAGAAAAAAAAATAGAGGATATTTAAACAGAGAAGAGTTTTGTTTCACTTAATAATGTATGCTTTTTTATTTGACATATAAAAGATAGAATGGTTAAAATTAAGATTATGTTCTTTTTATATATTATATACTTCTGATGGTAGATAATAAAAAAAAATAAAGAAACAGACATTTGGGGACCTCTGAGAATGCGTGCGTACCAATTTAAAAGATCAATTACTAAATGCTTGTCTTATGCTGGCAAGGAATTTCAATGCATTAATTATTATAAGTAAACAATTACGAGACGCACGTATGAAGGGTTGGTTCCGTACCATTATCTATAAAAACGGCAAAAAAAGTCACGTCTGTTGCAGGGGAGCCACACTTAAATATTTTTTTTATTCTATATTTTTGTTATGTCGGCAACAGAAATACATCATCTGTGAAAGTTTCAAATGTCTAACTATCACGGTTCTTGAGATGCAGTCTGGTGACAAACGGACAGACGGCCAGACAGACAGCGGAGTCTTAGTAATACGGATCCTATTACCGTTTTCCCTTTGGGTACGGAATCCTAAAAAACACGTGGAGGTTGTTACTGAAATAATCCACATCACTCCATTCATCTATCCTACAACAGTTTCACAATACTCGAGGACAGAAAAAACTGTCTGTCGCTGCGGAACACCAAACCTTGAACTTGGAAGGCAAAGAAACTGAGTGAAAACAATTTAAATAATTTAAATGTTACTAAACAAGCGGCATTCGATCTTATGTGCGAAGCGTTAAGATCTATGTTGACCGCAAAGATGTGTCGGTTAAGAAGTTCAATGGCCTGGGGCAAAAAACGACAAGCAAGCATGATAAAGTCTTGGATACGCTATCGTGGGCTCGCGGTTGTAGCATTTTTCTTTGAAATTTTTACTAAAATAAATTATGTTTTTTTTTTTAATTTACCGTACAATGTTTAGCTGTGCTTTAAGTCGTTGGTGGCACATCGTTTTTCAAACCAAAGGCCAGTGTTACGAGCGAAAACACTATTATAATTAATAAATACTATAAATAAATATTTCTCGTATTAAACTTATAAGCAACTTCGATTCCTTCTTCGTTTCTTCATTGACTTAAAGGTGATTCAACTACACTGTTTTTCGGGAGCTGACAGAAACAAATTAAGTACAGAGCTACAATATGAAAAGTAATTATGAAACTTCTGGTGGTGATGAAGAGTTCAGCTCCACTCCGCGAAGTACCTCAGCTTTATATCGGACCGGTATAAGAAATGTTTACAGTAAATAATAGGCAGTTAATATTTTAGGACATATTTACACATAGTTATCTAGTCCCAAACTAAGCAAAGCTTGTACAATAGATTCTAAGGAGCTGATGAACATATTTAAACAAACTTTTTTTTATAAATAAATAGGTATCACTACATAGTATAAAACAAAGTCGTCCCGCTGTCTGTCTGTCCGGGAGCTGTGGGTCGGATTCCCGCATTTGGGTGTTTGTTCCCAAAGTGGGTTGACGTCAGGCCGGGGGCCAGTGGTAAAAACCTACCCAATACCATTAACAGTGAGATTCACATGTTGTTCACCCCACCTAGATGATATAAGGATAGGAGAAATAAGAAGAGTGTAGTAGTCATTTAACCACTGCAAGGTGTACAAAGTTCGCTAATGCAACTCATATCCTGGTTTATTCAGCTCAAAATCTGCGAGTGGGAAAACTTGTAGCAGACGGACGCGAACACGGTATATGCGAGTGAGAACAATGAAATATTATTTGTTCAACTACATTACTAAGAACCATCGAAGGGAAATGCTATGTTTATAAATATTAAATTCCATAATTTCAACATAAGTATTTAGTACACTTATACATGGGGAGTCGATGGATGCAGGTGGCTCAGGATCGTGCTTCGTGGCAGTCTGTGGGGGAGGCGTGTGTTCTGCAGTGGACTCAAACAGGCTTAAATGAATACATTGTCTAACAATTATTTCCGTTCGTCACTGTCCGACCGTGACGCCAATAAAATATACGTCAGCCCATATCCGTCTCTGAAAGATGTTTCGAGAAGCGTAGCACTCATACGGCACTAGTACCTGGAGGTTTTTTTTGGTAAATCATGTATTCTGGAAATAAACAAAATAAAAAATAAAGAAAATGGTCTGGTATAGAAAAAAAGTAAAAAAAAAATAAGTGTATAAATGATCGTGATACGAACCGTCGGCCGTCTGTTTCGGGTGCACCCGATTACCGACCGAGCTATTATAACATTTTTTTTGCGGCGAAATTTACTGTCATGTTCGAATGATATTTTTCATTCCCTGAAAACAGGGATAAAAGGACATTTTCTAAAAATAAAACCTAGCTAGATCGATTTTTCGCCCCCGAATCTACGCAAATACTAAATTTCTTGAGAATCGCTGGAGCCGTTTCCGAGATTCCGATTATACAGCGTGTCGTTACCATCGCGACAATAAATGAATACACGTCTAACGCTTCTTGCCAATAATCATAAAAAAATATTAACGTTAAACAAAATGCATAATTTAAAAAAAAATATTTTTCAAACAAACTAATTAAGTAAAAAAGAAACAAAATTTGTAACATCCTATACAACTCGCGCCACAGCGTCGTATTACAAGCCTTTCCTTCTAACAGTATGTTTTGTCTCTTTTAAATTCATTCAACCCATTCATATGCTTTGTGACCTTTACAAATGAACTTTATATTACAGTTTTATACGTAAGGGTGTTCTAAAATTCTTTGTTTCGGAAAATTTAATAACTCTGTAAATATTGATGTTTAAAGACTGTAAATGTTTATTACAATTTAAAAAAGTTATCCCCTATATGTGTGTTCATTTATTGTCGCGATTGTAAAGACACGCTGTATATATATAAAAGAATTGCTCGTTTAAAGAATAAGATACAAGCCTGCCCTGTGGTTGCCGGTTTCGATTAGCATAAGTAACGTCACTTAAATCGGTGAACATTATGAAAAACTACTTTTAAGCTAAAAAAATAAGTAATAAACATAAAAACAAAGACAATATGATTTCGCGGAGCGCGAGCATTATCTGCTTCCCCGGCCGGTGAGCGTCTAATTTCACGTCTAAATATGCGTGGCCGTCGAATCCCAAATTGCGGGCACAAGGGGCCCGGATTTGAAGCATCCGTCGGCGCGTATTATACTTTCTAATTTTTCCGCGCGAACCGTATTTATTTATATTCCATTGTTCGACGAATAACGTAATCCTAACGGAGGGGGCCCTCGGGGATTTCGAGAGCTCGGACCCTTGGGAGTCTTGAGATCTTTTGCGATATTATAAATTGATGGCGTTGTTACTTGTACAGATTTTTTTTTTTTTTTATTACGGACCGAGCATGACTCGCCAGCTGCTAAACTGTTCGGCATCAAGACGTGGGTGAGATAAATATGGATGTTTGTGTAAAGCAGGGTTGACGTTAGGTAGGCGGAAGCTAAGTCGTTTACATAAAGATATAGATAATATTAAGTCTGTTCCATTCTGCGGCTAATGACGAAGCAAACTGCTCGATTAAAATGCGTGGATTCGATTGGAAAAAAGCAAAATTACGAACGCCATGATGTTACAAATGAAGGGGGAATTTATTAAATATTAAATTATATTATTAAAATATATTAAAACCGGCCAAGTGCGAGTCGGACTCGCACATGAAGAGTTCCGCACCATTGTTAAAATCATGTCTGTTGTATGGGAGCCCTGCTTAAATATTTTTTTATTCTGTTTTTTAGTATTTGTTGTTATAGCACCAACACATACATCATCTGTGAAAATTTAAACTATCTAATTATCACGGTTCATGTGATACAGTCTGGTTACAGACGGACAGATACACAGACAGGCAGCGGATTCTTAGTAATGGGGTTCTGTAAGGGAATGCCCATGTACTGCCTTTTTATCCACTAGTCACTGATAAGGTAAGATTTCCGAAAATCGCATGACTAAATTGTACAAAAAATTATTTGGACTCAGGTTTTTTAAAACGATTGCATTTTTGTACTTCTGTTATAACAAACTTTTTATTCTACGTCTTAGTAAACGTGTACTAACTAGAGTTCGAGATTTACATAGACACCAAAGCATTATACGACTCATAAGCGTGAACTCGTGAAAGCGTATTTAATTTACATTTGAAAACGATACCGTTTTAAATAACATATGGACCGGTTCGCTTCGGAATAGAAATAAAAAAAAATTACCAACGAAAAACCAAACGACTTCAAATACCTCGCTCTGTATTCATTTTATAATTGATTTCCAGGAGTTCCCCAAGTGTCTCGGGAGCCCAGGATCCAATACCAATGAAATTAATAATGGAAAACACGGGAAGCACCAGTTCACTTTACTACTTTACAGTCGAAAGTTCTGAGGTAATAAACATAAAAAAATACAGACATTGATAACCTCCTCCGTTCTTGTAGTCGGTGGAAAAGTAATAAAGCTCATGCTGACAGACAAAGGGAAGTTACTTCAATTCAATCGGCGTTTTTCTCCATTAGAGGTTCCCCGACGTGAGTATTTAATGAAACGCAGGGGCGTTCATAAAATTCACTTAGCCTAGAAACGTGTTCTGCGATCAACGCTCCGCTGTCTACATTGAAGGAAAAAAAGGAAAATTTCTTTTCTTTCTTATTTACATTGAAATGTCTTCTTAGACACATTTGCTACGAAAATGTATCGCAGAAAAAGCTTAAACATTATTGAATACTTATAGATTTTATTTTGAAGAAAACATTGATAAAATAAATAAATATTTCGGGATATTGATTTACACAGCTTTATCTAGTCCTAAACTGAGCAAAGCTTGTAATGTGGATACTAGAAAACTGATAAACATACTTAAACGTACTTTTCTTTTGTAAATAAATACATGTTAAAGATATATAAAGACCCAGACGATAGATAAAGATGTTCATCACACAATATTTTTCCAGTAATGGGGATCGAACTGGCCTCTAGCACAATAGACAGGGTCACCATCAACTTCGCCAATTGGATCGTCCATGCCCATTCATACAAATGTCTTTATGTATCTTTGGGCTGAAAGTAGACGTTTTATCAAATCCTGTCTGTGGCAGGGCCACGCAGTAGTTTCTGATGTTGCACGAATGGTCAGGCCTGTCTGGAGAAGCAACTCGATCTCACAGAAGACCGGCGGAAGTTTACACTTTTACGTTTCATCTCGTGATCGGGGTAACTGGGGCACAATTGTTGATAAGTTGGTTACGCATTTAGGAGCTGTCTCCTTGGGGGTGGTATCTACAAAGCACCTACGGGTGCTGCTAATGTTTCCACGGGTGTTCAAAACATTATTCTGTGTTTTAAAAACAAACACTCAGATACGAAACAATATCTGTGGGTCTCCCAATAGTTGCATCGTGTGGGAATCGAACCCACGACCCACGGCGCCAAATCCAATACCCTTGGCAACTGCGTCAAGGAGTCATCAAAAGAATGGGTATAGATGACCACTATAGAGGGAAGCCATGCCATGGAGCGGAAAGAGTCTAGTAGAAAGTCACGCGGGCCGAAGTGACTCTGAGTATTGTATTCAAATGGTTTCCTTGTTCGCAGGTCGCGTGGGGTCACCGGTCGCCATGGCAACCGGTCTCAAAACAAACTCCTGAAGCACACGGGTAAGTTTTCGTGTGAAAGTTACGTGTCAAGGTTGAACTCAATAATGCAGAGGTCGTAACAATTGTTCCCCTTACACGTGTCTTCTTAAAACAGGGATCGTGAAAAAATTATGACATCAAGGTCCGAGATATATTAATTCTTGGGATCATTTACGAAATAGAACTATTTTCAGATTGCGATTTCTTTTATAGCCTCGAACAATACGCAATTATGAAACTGTTATCGCGTTATTCACCGATTTTATAGCCTTTAATCAAACTTGCTTAGTTAAAATTTAAAACCCCAACGCTAGATGACAACGTTATTGTATCTTGACTCTTTTTATGATGTTAAGTGATAACCGCCGCCCATGGACATTTATTCATCATCTGTCACATTAACTTACGTATATCTTATGACGTAAAGGGGAGCAATTTTAAACGCCGCAGTATGGACATGCCGCATCTTTATTAAAACATCATTGGCTCAAGTTCTTAGACACAATAAACATTATATTGCATCAAAAAATATTTATGAACAACTAAAATCGAATATCCATATTAATGCAGACATTGATATTTGTTTTTGTATCTCGTGATTTTCTAGATATTTTAAAAAATATCCAGACGGAAGTGTGATAAATATAAGCTATAGTCGGTAGTATGTTATTACACCATATCTATTACATTACTGTCTCCTCTGTGGCGTCACATTTCACTTTCGTCTTAGAGCATCGGAAATCCGCCATTTTCTCTCTCAATAATTATATTCCGCGGCAATGTGTGGAAAGCCACAAACCGGGAAATATCGCGTGAAAGTTTCTTCAAAGGGGTTTCAAGTGTAAATTTGAATAAAACTGTCTGTCTATCCTACACGTTTGCTATTATTTTTGTTACGGTATTACTTCGGAAAACTTGCTGGATGCTTTGACAACCTTTTACGCGACAGTCTTCTGCGAAGTTCTTGTTTCATTAAGTTGAAATATTAAAATTTTTAGTATAAATGGCCGAAAAGCCGAGACGGCAACAAGATTTGAACTCGACTTCTATTGACTTAATGGTTTTTTTTTTTGCATTATTTAAAAAAAAAGACGGTGGCAGGGCCACGCAGCAGCCTCGGCTGTTGCACGAATGAGCAGGCTCGACCGGGTAAGTACCACGACCTCACAGAAGACCAGCGTAAAGTCGAAGTATGACAAATACTTTCGTGTTTCGTCTGGTGAGTGAGGTAGCCGAAGCCCAACGCATCTGCAAGCCTCGGGTGTGGCAGATGTCCGTGGGCGGCGGTACTCACTTAACATCAGGTGAACCGTCTTCTCTTTTGACAACTTTTCGCATAAAAAAAATATAAGCATTCTGCACTCCTTCTCCATATGAACTATAAGTGTGGCAAATTTCATACTCCTCCGTCCGAGCAATTGTCTTAAAAAGGGATATATAGTCATCTCTGCCTGAACTGTGACCGCTCCATTAGAGAACAGCAGTGAGCGTTTGTGCCGTTAGTCCTTTATAAGAATTCCCTGTTCCAATTTCGAAAATTATGAAGCAATTACCAGCGTAATAGGCTTCTCTGTGATCGGCTCTGCCGCATAAGGCTCTGTGCACACCGAGGCGCCACACCTATGTGCTTAACTGAATATTATTTTAACAGCTAAAACAAATTGATGACTCGGTGACGCATATGCTAAGCTATTGGCCTCGTCGCCGGGGTTGTTGGTTCGAATCCCAATCTGGCCCAGTGTGTGTGTGATCCACAGATAATTGGATTCTTCTTCTTGGGTGTTTTTGCGAAAGGACTGTCGATGTAAAGTCTTAGAAAAATCTAGATAATACCATTACTAACAACATGATTCATTCATTTATCATGATTCATACATTAAAGCATGATATTGTGCCAACATCACCTGAAGACCTAAGGAGAGAATGGCTTCAGTAAAGTCAAATTTATATTTAAATCATACACTAACGGCCGAAGAGCAAGTAGGAGCACATTTTGAAAAATATAACGCATTTTGTTGTTGCGGAGACTTCATTGAAATCTCCTTTTATCTCCTGAGATGAAAGCTTTAAATACTTTTAAATGAAGTCCAAACTTTACCTTTCAAGTTTGGACTTCAGTTCTTTAGATACTAGGATACTACAATCGATACTAGACATTCAAGCAATGGCTATAAAGTTTAAAAGCTACGCCGCCAGCCGCCGTTGTCTTACTGTGAATCAAGCCTTATTGCGAGCTCTCAAGCTCTCCGCGCTAAATGGAGCAAACCGATTTCTCGCCGCTGAAAAACACCTGATGTTTATAGAAAATTCAGCGTCCTTTACCACGCCTTGTGTTTGTTGTCACTTATGAAAATACGCTAATGCATCTGACATAATCTACATTGCTAATAAACATTACCAATACATTGTAAAATATATATTTTTACTGAATCAGTCGCGTTTAATTTGTTTCTAAGTTCTCAACGATTCGAGCATTTTATAGTATCCAAATAGTCACGGGAGAAACTTAATGTACAACTGTTCAATTTCATAATAAACTGGGGCTACAGTTAGATTTTTTTAATGTTAAAGTTGGCCTTGTCTACGAGTTAGTGTAAGTAGAAATCATCCCCCATAAAGGAAATGTGTTATTGGAATCTAAGCAAAGGCCCGAAATGATGTCGATACGGACAAATGTAATTTGATGTTGCCATTTAAATTCCTGATATTTCATTTTCAAGCTGACGGTAGCTCGAGTTAAAACGACATCAAATAGAACATTTCAGTCCGTCACGCGAGCATGGAGGCTGAATTTCAAAATGCTGAAATTTAGCACGTCGCCAATTTCAATTCGAATTAAACGCCACAATATCAGTTAAAACTGGTGCAACATAGTTGCCTATTAATTCATAAAATTGACGACTCTATTTAGTAATCTCCACGTATTCTTTACTAGCTGCTGCCCGCGACTACGTCTGCGTAGAATAGGCTGAAGGCGTAACATTCTGACAGAAAGACAGATATACATAAAATATGTATATAAATTATAGCCTTTGTCTTATTCTGATTATAATAAAAAGCTTTATTATTGACAAGTTTCATTAAAATAGATTTAGTAGTATTTGCGTGAAAGAGTAAGAAAAATCCATCCATACATACAAACTTTCGCCTTTATAATATTAGTAAGGATTAAAGTCGTCTCATAATGCAAACACTAACAAAATATGCAGCCAATATATATATGTCTCACTGCTGGGCAATCTTTCCTGATTTATATTCTCTTTATTACCTGTTTCCTATAACTATCGCTTTGATACATATATGTCAAATGAAATCAAATCAAAAATATCTTTATTCAAAAAGACGCTTGCGCGTCCTTATGAATCGTCAAATTTTACATAATAAATTATATATAGGCTCGTAAGGTACCACCGATGTGAATGGTTCCATTTTCTCACGACGCTTTCTTCTATCGCCATGCAGTATGTTAACAGCACATAATATTGCATCAAATTCATTGGGCAACAGTAAAGCAACAGTCTATATATATATATGACCCACTGCTGGGCAAAGGCCTCCTCAAATTAAGGCATATTCCACCTCGTGAACCCTCTGCGGATTGGCAGATTTCTCATATCTTTGCGACAATTTTTTTAATTATATTTCGAGAATACGCAGGCATCGCAGGTATCGTCACGATGTTTCATTTGAGTAGGTGTTGAGTAGGTGATGCGTCAGCATTTATAATTGCAATACACAATTTCGTTGGTGCCGTGCACCGGATTTATGGCTCAGGTTGCCCGAGTATGTTGAATTGAAAGCGAGCGCTCCGTCAGTGAGGTATCACGTCTACGGCATTGTGAAGGCAATATTAAGACTAAACGGCAATATTACGCTGACACCACAACCATATTACAATTACTTCAAGTTAGGTATACTTTTAAAAGCTGCAAACTTAAAAGTTGCCAACTTAACTGCAACTCAAAGGGTGTCGTGGGCAAACGTTGTTTTGTGGAATATCGTTAAATCCGTTTTTCTTAAATTCTTAGCTGACCTCTACTCGACGAAAGGAATATTCCTACCAAATTTCAAGTCTCTACGCCTTATGGTTCCAGAAATATCGTGATGAGTCAATTATCGGTGGAAATCTCTATATATATATATTGCGTTTCATACTACACTTTATTTAAAGGTGGCAACGCTTCTGCAACCCTACCGGTGTTGCAAATGTCCATGGGCGGCGGTTGTCACTTAACATCAGGTGAACCGCCAGCTCGTTTGCCACTTTGACACATAAAAAAGAAACATCCTTGGATAGCATTTAGTTCAGGAACCCCTTGTTAGTTCCAACCCTATAAAGAACACGAAGTTTTCGGATTCCCTGTGTATTACGAAATCGGTATAATTAAAATATTTACAAAGAAGCCTCGTTGCCGAAACACGATTCAGCCTTGGCCGACATTAACTCCAGCTGGTATCAGCCAAAGAACTGAGGTGTTTCACAGAAATTTATTTTCGGATACGCTTGGTACGATGGAATGTTGATTACAATCCTTTTACGCGTATCAACATCTCGAGTATATATTATTCCTAAAAGAACGTATGATAATAGCTCTTATAAGATTAATGATTAGTTAAAGGATAGCACACTCTATCACTGATCATACCAAGCTCTTTTGATTGGATTTAACCATCTTTTCATTTTTTTATTTTAGGCGTTTTAATTTTTCTAGCGGTCTAGATTTTTTTTTAAAAAACGAAAAGATTACAGTTTTGATAGTCGACAGTGTAGTCCTATTATCACCTTTTCGAAGTGTCCACCGCACCTGTCAACCGTCCTACTGGGGAGACTTTGAGAGCCTGTCCTTATATATAACATTTTACTCTTAATATTTAGACGTAAATTATGTTTAACGGCGAAGTAAGCCAACAAAGCTGTCATAGCTCAGTGTCTGGGTGCTCGCCTTTAATTTAATATACTCGAGCAACCTGAGTTCGATCCCCGGTGCCGGCACCAATGAAATTGTCAATTTTAAGTTCTG